CACGCACGCACGCACGCACGCACGCACGCACGCACGCACGCACGCACGCACGCACGCCCGCGGGACCATGGTATGACTCTACACGGAACAGGTATAGACTACTATCGTAGTCATAAACAAAATTTGTCTTAACGTTAGTCTTAACATTTGTCTTAACGTTAGTCTTAACATTTGTCTTAACGTTAGTCTTAACATTTGTCTTAACGTTAGTCTTTTTTTCGTAGACCGGACCTCTACACACCGCATATGGAAAACTCGTAACTCCACCACGTTTCTACCAACAGTCTACGGGAGCAAGTTAACGTTATTATACTAACTTTAACACTAATTTTGTTTCTGAGACTCTATAGGCCCCCAGACTTTGAACGGGAGATCTAGACAAAGCTGTGTTTACACCCGGGCGTCGGTGAAAACCTAGCTGCAGCGGCAGCTGACACAAACCGCTGCCAACAAAGAGAAAGCGTCAATCAATAACTGAAGCCCGGTGCGCATGCGTGCTAGCAACCTCCCTCAGCATCCCCCCCCCCCGCATCCTCGCGCTGTACGCAGCTGCGTCAGCCTCCCGTCAGCATCGTCATCCTCATCCTCCCGCAGCAGCAGCATCCCCCATCGCCGGCACAGAGCGCCCTCTATATGTACGGCCCTGAATAACATCCGATAACCTTCCCTTCCCCACCTAAACTGTAACTTGTGACCCGCCACCGTTTCTTTCTTTTGAAAGTGCTGTGAATGTGTTCACCAACAGACGACGAATAGAGTATTACTGCGGTGAATCAATAGATTCTATTTGCCAAATTCGAAATGCCGAATTTCCTCAAAATAACTAAGATTTATGAAGGTGGAGTGGTCACGAACGCAGTAACAGCCCCCCTCCCCCACCACAGACACACACACTGCCGCCGCTTTCTCAGTGTCAACACTCTGTGGTTCAAGTTTAACTAACCCTATAGTTCTTTCTCGGGGAAGCAGCCGTATAATCAGCCCGACTAGTGCTGATTATTTTACCCGTGCGCTGACAGAATATATAATGAGTGCAGTGATAATAAGCTTGCGCGGCAGGTTTAATGAGCGCGCGTAGGAAGGGACAATCTTTGTTCATTTTTGTAATGACGCTATGTAACGTGAATCGCCCCATGCCGCGATCTCAGCTTCAATAAGCCAAGGCTATACGTCGTGATATGAACATGCTGCTACTGCTGCTGGTACTGCTGTTGCTGTTGCTGCTGCTGCTGCTACTATTACTATTGCTGATGTTGCTACTGCTGCTACTGCTACTGCTACTGCTACTACTACTACTACTACTACTAATACTACTACTACTACTACTACT